CCCTCTGTTCAGTTTACAATTTTCCCTATTTATGCAGTTGGCTAGAACACCGGCCCCACCCAGTTCAGGTGGAGACCGTTCCATTGGTATAGATTTGACTTTTCCCAGTACTAGTGCCAATGCTCCAAAGTCCGGAACCCATTTCTCCCATACCAGTCTTTGAGCCATGCATACATCTCTCTAATTTGATTTGGCCAATGTCAATTTGCATATGGTTTATTTAATACTGCAGAGGTTATGACCTTTTAGGTTCTGGTTTTGAATTTGGCACCTGGTTCCACATACTGACTACACAAAACCTTATTCTTTGTTGTACCTCTGATGCTGATACCTAATGGGCCATGACAACTAGATCCTCTCTCACTCACTGAAAACTCCTCCCCAACCTTGAGCAGATGTCCCAAATTTTGGTGCCAGACAAACAACACCGCTGCCTGGACTCTCACTCATTGCAGCAGAAAATGGTGTCAATCCCACTAACTATACTGCTTCAATATATTGCTTTTCACTATCCCCTACTTGAATGGCTTACTGTACAGTGATGCCATGGTCAGTTAGTGCATCCACCCTGCAGGCCCCATCTCATCCAGACAACAAATTGAAAGAACTTCAAACCTGTTGAACAATTGTAAAGGCTGAGGCTCCTCTTGCCTCTTGTCTCTTTAAATGCCTTACTTGCTGTCATACACTCCTGCCCCTGGATAATGACAAACGCAGATAGTTCTAAACGCAGTTCATTGAGGAAATCATTTACACACCATTGGAAATTATTTGCAGCAAGCCACTAACTAGTGCACCACCTCAACTACAACAATTTCTGATAAAAGTATAGGGATATGACTTTGATGTCTGCTACATGTGACCAAAATGGTCAACTCAGTTATGGTGAGCAGATTGCCAAATCTGAACAAGGACATGGATATTCCACTGGATCTACAAATCAACAGCATGAGCATTCAAGAGGAAAATATGCTCAAAATTCATCTATTGCATTTTGGTCAGCATAAAGATACTGAACTTCAGTTGGAAGCAGCTGATGGAAATTATCACCAGAGTGGCTTGACTTGGATAAAAAAGGGTGCCAGACACCTTCAGATATTTGTGTCCTTACAAAGGTGAGCTTGGTATCTTAAAGAGGAATTACCTTCAAAAGAAAACAAATGCTTGTGCATGAAGCTCTCTGCCATGACATATTGCCACAACTATGCCAATGAAATATGGGCATAGAATGGATGAAATGACTGGCATCTGATGCAATCTATTGGCCAGGCATTAACAGTACAATTGAAAGATTGGTGAGGATTTGTAAGGCATATCAGAGCCGCCAGTCACAATAACATAGATAACTTCATACCCTCATGAGATTCTGTCGATCCCTTGGTCCACAATCATCATTGTTCGGTTTACTGTGTATAAAGAGATAACTTCATCTTAATCACTGATTATTTCTCCAAATTTCTAATTGTCAGACAGGTAAGGAACAGCTCAGCCATGGCTGTGGCAGATATATTTGAGTGCCATATTCAGTCTGTTCAATGCACCTTTAGAAATCATTTCACACATATGGTCAAGTATATAGGCAGCCTTTTCAAGGATGTGTGCGCCAAATGGGGCCTGAAGCACCTGACGTTCTCACTACATTACTCCAGATCAGGCTGGAATGGTTCACAGTATCAAATCATTCATCCTGTTTTGCCATTTTACACCTTAGAGGTCCACCTCTGGATATGGGGTTAACATTGCCAGCAGAAATCATTTTCAGAAGGCACTGAGAATTACATTGCTAAGTCACTGCCTTGTCAAATGCTCCAAGACGTAGGACATACTTCTCAACAAAGGATGAAGATGATGTATAAAAGGCAAGTATGTAGAAAGAACTGCATGTAGGGCAAAAGGACAAAGTCACACCCAACAAGAGGATCATAGTTAATCTACACAGGTTTCCAAAGTGTGCAGTGAGTTCAATCATGGAGTCATGACACCTAACAAAGCAATGCTGAGGAGTTACAGAAGCTTGCTAGGGAAAATACACAATACGCTAAATGTACACAGCAACCATGGAATAACACGCCCAGATGGTGACAGTGTAATAAAACATCAATCGACACTCTGATGACAAGTGTGCAGAACATGAACAGCCAACGGTGAAATCTACACTTGCAAAAGGTTACACATTGACAAGAGAAGTTTACTGTCGCGATGATATATCGCCTTTTAGACTTCTATACCTATTAATCCCACAATCCCTACCCCTGTATAATTAATTAATAACTACTACCCAATGTTATGCCATTTTATTTTTGACATATGAGAGCTAGCTTTAGTAAAGAGAGGGCAATGTTATATGCTATCACTTACAGGACAATGTCCTTTCAAGAGATCAAAATGCAAATGATCCAAGTGTCCTGATTTTATCACATGATTGCAGGCAATGTGCACTATTGCACAGGTTGTGTCTGGAGATTGCTCTGAACTGTATACATTAGTTTAGTTGCAAATAAACCCACCAGAGATCTTCAAAATAAATGGAATCCACATACCTCACTTGTAGATAACACAAGAATATTATTACAATGACCTTCAGGACATGACTGGTCAGCAGTGATGCCACTGACCACTCTGGTCATGCACTTTTAAGTCGCCTACCCAGAATATAGTCTTTCCCTTTGCCACTCTCAGTGCTTCTGACGTATCCAACACGAAAGAGTATTGATTCTTCATAGAGACAGTAGGTGTAATCAGCAGGTGGTTTCCTTACCTACATATGATCTGATGACGTGAGACTTCAAGGGGTCCAGTGTCAATGCTGAGAGTTCCCAAGGCAACTCCATCCTGACTGTATACCACTGTGCCAACATGTGTGGTGGGTCTGTCCTACTGGTGATTCAAGACATACCCAGAAATGGTGATAGTGGTGACTAGGATGTGTCTGTATGTAAGTCTCTTGCAACCTTGCCAACATTTGGTTCACTTCCTGTTTCGTGAATTGCAGCTGCTATGTGATAAGAAGAATCCTTTCCACCCTGTTATGATTTTGTTTGAAAAGAGGAAGTAAATGGCCTGAGGTTAAGCCTGAGGTTAATCATGAATGTTATTCTGGGGATGTCTGCAACTTTAGATTAGAAACTTAAAAAAAATGAACCAGCAATGTTTAAAACTGCTGGGTGCATACATTCAGGTAGAATAATCTTCAGTGGTGAGTCATCTGGTAGTCTAGGCTGCGCTGTTAATGCAGGAGAGCGAACAATAAAAAGACAGGGACAAATGGCAGACACACCTATGAGGGATAGTAGGAACTACAGATGCTGGAGAATCTGAGATAACAAGGTGTAGAGCTGAATGAACACATCAGGCCAAGCAGCATCAGAGGAGCAGGAAGGCTGACGTTTCGGGCCTAGACCCTTCTTTAGAAATGGGGGAGGGGAAGGGGATTCTGAAATAAATAGGGGGAGTGGGGGGAGGCGGATAGAAGATGGAAAGAGGAGAAGATAGGTGGAGAGGAGACAGACAGGTCAAAGAGGCGGGGATGGAGCCTGTAAAGGCTCCTACCTACCTCCTACCTACTAACCTCATCCCGCCCCCTTGACCTGTCCGTCCTCCATGAACTGACCTATCTCCTCCCTAACTCCCCACCTACACTCACCTTTACTGGCTCCATCCCCACCTCTTTGACCTGTCTGTCTCCTCTCCACCTATCTTCTCCTCTATCTGCCTCCCCCTCTCTCCCTATTTATTTCAGAATCCCCTTCCCCTCCCCCATTTCTGAAAAAGGGTCTAGGCCCGAAACATCAGCCTTCCTGCTCCTCTGATGCTGCTTGGCCTGCTGTGTTCATCCGGCTCTACACCTTGTTATTACACCTATGTGGGATTGTGAGAACATTCATTTACGTTTATTCCTCAATGCATACAGTACAAGCTATTGCGACAAAATGCTACAGCTCATTCACAGCCAGTCTTTGAAAAGATTGTTGTAAATCATTCAATATTACCTCCTAATGTTGATACACAGAGATATGTACAGTAATGGAGATCTCATTTGCACAGTTCAAAATAAGCTACTGTAAGAATGTTACTGAACTGTAATAAATCTATAGTCAGCTTTTAAGCCATTGGTAGATCTAAAGGATTTTCTCAATCATTTTATTATTTTTAGAAGTAAATCCTGTTTTGTTATGCTGAACAGAACACAGATCCTGTTCCCTCCCATTACCAGATTGTTAAATTGTTAAATAACAACCCACTGGTCGAGATTGGTAACAAATGGGGTTGGTTACAAAATGAATTATCAAGGAAGGCACGCAAGCCAAGTTAAATTACTTCACAGCTGAATCCAGAATTAATTTTTGGTCACAATTGATAGATAATACTGAAGTTTATGTTACAATGTTAAGTAATTAAAAGTTGATGGATCCACATGGACTTGTTCTAATCAACCATTTATTGGTCCACTGCATGGGTTTTGCGCCTTAAAATAGTTACTTTGGGTTGCAATATCATTTCCTTTAAGCTTACATTCCTTTTCCTTGTATCATTTTCGGCAGAGGCATTAATCGCAATTTTCAGGCTCTGCTGGAACATCATATTTAACATATTAAAACTGAGCACTCTACTTGGTCATTTCTTCCTTTGAAGATGTCAGCAAGTGAAAAGGAATGAAAACACGCGTGCTTTAAAAGGGAAATGCCCTCTCTCCATCCTGTTGAAAGTTACCTTCTACAGGCATTGTGCAGGTGCTGCAGTACCCAGGTAAACTGGAGGGGCCTCCGAGTCTGCTTGGATTATTGGAACCCTTGGCCAACACTCAGAGGCTGCCTTCACGAGGTTAATCTGGTTCCCACAACTTCAGTTGGCAGACCGAAGAAAGGGCAAGTGAAGCAGCATCAAAGCACAAGAAAATAAAATAACTTAAAACAATTATTGTATAAGAAAGAGATGCATGGAACAGAATACCAACAATTCAAAGCAACTTTGCAAAACTAAAAACTAGCATTTAAACTTACCGGTTTTGAAAACAGCATAGTGGCCTTGCTGGTAACTGTGTAGCCGAGAATGACCGTTGAGTTCAGACCAAAGCAGCTGTTGTGACGTGATGAAACTGTCAGTAAAACTACCGCTCACATTTCCCTTACTTCCCTTTTAGGTTTACGGTACTTCTCTAATACGACACCACGTTACTAGGGTTCTATTACTATTACTACGTGCTGAGGATAGGTCACCGGACCCGAAACATCAACTCTGATTTCTTTCCACAAATGCTACCAGACCTGTTGAGCTTTTCCAGCACTTTTTTGCTTATGTACCATATTACTAGAGTTCTTAGTTTTTGGTATTTAGCTTCTGACTGTGTTTTGGGCTAAATTGCTGTGTAGAAGTTTCCCAAAAGTCAGCGGTGTCAATTTTGGGGAGTTTCATGGAGGTGTGAGTTTCAGCAAGTTTTCTCATGTATTATGTATGCACCATAACTCTGTGGTGCCCAGCTTGTGCTCACCAGTGGCAAAAGTACTCACAGCTGCCAGGATCTCCCAGGACACTGGGCGCCAGCACCATATTTACAATGTAGCTGTGTACCAGGACAAGCTCTTTCAGTGAGGAGCTGTCTTCACAGTTCATGAGAGCGAAACCTTCATAGTTTTTGTGTGTGAATATTTCAACTGTCCGAGGGGTGAAGACCTGCCTCAAAGATGACCACGAAGAGGATTTTGGTATTCCATGTCACTGACTTGAATCTGGGCAAGGTAGTGGAGAGGAGGGATATCTCCTATCCTCAGGACTGCCAGAGGGGACCATGGGATCACACCCTGCCAGCATGGGCCAAAGTTGCTACCCAGGTAACTGCAGTGATGGCAGTGCAGAAGAATTCCCAGCAGTGCAGGAGGAAGGTTAATGACCTTCTGTGCTTCCCATAGGTAAACGCTACCATTCATAGAACATAGAACATAAAACATAGAACATTACAGCGCAGTACAGGCCCTTCGGCCCTCGATGTTGCGCCGACCTGTGAAACCAATCTGAAGCCCATCTAACCTAAACTATTCCATTATCATCCATATGTTTATCCAATGACCATTTAAGTGCCCTTAAAGTTGGCGAGTCTACTATTTTTGCAGGCAGGGCATTCCACGCCCTTACTACTCTCTGAGTAAAGAACCTACCTCTGACATCTGTCCTACATCTATCACCCCTCAATTTAAAGCTATGTCCCCTCGTGCTAGCCATCATCATCCGAGGAAAAAGGCTCCCACTGTCCACCCTATCTAATCCTCTGATCATCTTGTATGTCTCTATCAAGTCACCTCTTAACCTTCTTCTCTCTAACGAAAACAGCCTCAAGACCCTCAGGCTTTCCTCATAAGACCTTCCCTCCATACCAGGCAATATCCTGGTAAATCTCCTCTGCACCCTTTCCAATGCTTCCACCTCCTTCCTATAATGCAGTGACCAGAACTGTACGCAATACTCCAAGTGCGGCCGCACCAGAGTTTTGTACAGCTGCAACATGACCTCATGGCTCCGAAACTCAATCCCTCTACCAATAAAACCTAACATACTGTACGCCTTCTTAACAACTCTATCAACCTGGGTGGCAACTTTCAGTGATCTATGCACACGGACACTGAGATCTTTCTGCTCATCCACACTACCAAGAATCTTACCATTAGCCCAGTACTCTGTATTCCCGTTACTCCTTCCAAAGTGAATCACCTCACACTTTTCCGCATTAAACTCCATTTGCCACCTCTCAGCCCAGCTCTGCAGCTTATCTATGTCCCTCTGTAACCTGCAACATCCTTCCGCACTATCCACAACTCCACCAACTTTGGTGTCATCCGCAAATTTACTAACCCATCCTTCTCCGCCCTCATCCAGGTCATTTATAAAAATGACAAACAGCAGTGGCCCCAAAACAGATCCTTGAGGTACACCACTAGTAACTGAACTCCAGGATGAACATTTCCCATCAACCACCACCCTCTGTCTTCTTACAGCTAGCCAATTTCTGATCCAAACCGCTAAATCACCCTCAATCCCATGCCTCCGTATTTTCTGCAATAGCCTACCGTGGGGAACCTTATCAAACGCTTTACTGAAATCCATATACACCACATCAACCGCTTTACCCTCATCCACCTGTTTGGTCACCTTCTCGAAGAACTCAATAAGGTTTGTGAGGCACGACCTACCCTTCACAAAACCATGTTGACTATCCCTAATCAAATTATTCCTTTCTAGATGATTATAAATCCTATCTCTTATAATCCTTTCCAACACTTTACCCACAACCGAAGTAAGGCTCACTGGTCTATAATTACCAGGGTTGTCTCTACTCCCCTTCTTGAACAAGGGGACAACATTTGCTACTCTCCAGTCTTCTGGCACTATTCCTGAAGACAATGACGACATAAAGATCAAAGCCAAAGGCTCTGCAATCTCCTCTCTAGCTTCCCAGAGAATCCTAGGATAAATCCCATCCGGCCTAGGGGACTTATCTATTTTCACACCTTCCAGAATTGCTAACACCTCCTCCTTATGAACCTCAATCCCGTCTAGTCTAATAGACTGTATCTCAGTATTCTCCTCGACTACATTGTCTTTTTCCTGCGTGAATACTGACGAAAAATATTCATTTAGCACCTCTCCTATCTCTTCGGACTCCACGCACAACTTCCCACAACTGTCCTTGACCGGCCCCAATCTTACTCTAGTCATTCTTTTATTCCTGACATACCTATAGAAAGCTTTAGGGTTTTCCTTGATCCTACCTGCTAAAGACTTCTCATGTCCCCTCCTGGCTCTTCTTAGCTCTCTCTCTTTAGGTCCTTCCTGGCTAACTTGTAACTCTCAAGCGCCCTCACTGAGCCTTCACACCTCATCTCTACATAAGCCTCCTTCTTCCTCTTGACAAGAAATTCAACTTCTTTAGTAAACCACGGTTCCCTCGCTCGACCACTTCCTCCCTGCCTGACAGGTACATACTTCTCAAGGACACGCAGTAGCTGTTCCTTGAACAAGCTCCCCATTTCAATTGTGCCCAGCCCCTGCAGTTTCCTTCTCCATCCTAAATCTTGCCTCATCGCCTCGTAGTTGCCTTTCCCCCAGCTATAACTCTTGCCCTGCTTTATATACCGATCCCTTTCCATCGCTAAAGTAAACGTAACCGAATCGTGGTCACTATCACCAAAGTGCTCTCCTACCTCCAAATCTAACACCCGGCCTGGTTCATTACCCAGTACCAAATCCAATGTGGCCTCGCCTCTTGTTGGCCTATCTACATACTGTGTCAGGAAACCCTCCTGCACACATTGGACAAAAACTGACCCATCTGAAGTACTCGAACTATAGCGTTTCCAGTCAATATTTGGAAAGTTAAAGTCCCCCATAACAACTGATGGGATTGGCAATTGCTTATTCTTTTTAAGATTGATCTATTGAAGAGTACCGACAAGTGCTGTTCCATCAATGGCTAAAGAAATATCCGCTTTTGTCACACCGAAGGGTTACACAAATGTTGAATTATGCCGTTTGGGCTTTTAAAAAGCCTCAGCTATATTTCAGAGACTTAAGAATCAAGTCATAGCTAAGGTTTGTAACCATGTAGTTACAAACTGGGAAGAGCATGTAACCTAATTTGAAGACCTATTTAAGGAATGATAGCCGGCCAGCTTAATAATAAATTTATCCAAAAGTCAATTTGTGAAAGCAAGGGTAATTTAGCAAGGACAACAAAAGTGAAGACTCTGCTAGAATTCCCAGTTCGTAATATTAAATGGGAAATCATGAGATTTTTAGGAATGAGTATTTTTCTGGAAATTTGCACATAATATCAGCACAATAACTATATTATTAACAAATTTGTTGACGAGATAAGCAAAAGTGGTACAGTCAGCAGAATGTCAGCCAGCCTTTTGTAAATTAATTGAGGTTTGGCTGCCTCTGATTTTGCCAGATCTTTTAAAATGGCAATTGATGCTAGTGATTTATTCATGGGAATGTGGGGGTCACTGGCTGGCCAGCATTTATTGGCCATCCCTAGTTGCTCGAGAGGTGGGTGATGAGCTGCCTTCTTGAACTGTCACAGTCCTTGTGCTGTAGGTTGACTCACAATGCCCTTAGGGAGGAATTCCACGACTTTAACCCATCAACAGTGAAGGAACAGTGATATACTTCCATGTCAGGATGCTGAATGGTTTGGAGAGAGACTTGCATGTCATGGTGTTCCCATGTATTTGCTGCTCTTGTCCCAGATGCAAGTGCTTGTTGGTTTAGAAGGTGTTGTCTAAGGATCTTTGGTGAATTTCTGCAGTGCATCTTGTAGATAGTACACATTGCTACTAGAGGGTTGATGGTGGAGGGACTGGATACTTGTGGATGTGGTGCCCATCAAGCGGGCTGCTTTGTCCTGGATGGTGTCAAGCTTCTTGAGTGTTGTTGGAGCTGCACTCATCCAGGCAAGTGGGGAGTGTTCCATTACACTCCTGACTCATACCTTGTAGATAGTGGACAGGCTTTGGGGAATCAGGAGGTGAGTTACTCACTGCTGTATTCCTAGCCTCTGAATTTTTTACAGGATGAGGAGTTGGCTTCTCCAAGAAACTAAGCCCATATCAGAAGTAGCACTATACTGTAGACACTATAAGCAATTTAGCATGGCCAATCCACCTAACCTGCACATCTCTGAATCGTGGGAAGTAACCGGAGCACGCGGAGAAAACCCACACAGACACAGGGAGAATGTGCAAGGTCCACACAGGCAGTCACCTGAGGGTGGAATTGAACCTGGGTCCCTGGCGCTGTGAGGCATCAGTGCTAACCACTGTGCTATCCAGTTGGTATCAAAAAAGACCTTTGGTCATAGTTAGTTCATGATAACAGTTTCTGCTGAACCAGTGTGAATTTTCCACTTCCTTTATTTCTGGAACTGTAAGTCAGGCGAGAAATCAGGCTGCAAGAGATTTCAGTGGTTCGCTCTCAAACAAAACTAATTTGGTTTCTGTTGCTATAATTATTACATTATGGAGTTTTGAGTTATAAAGGTGAAAACAGACTTGTAGTCAATATTCTGACCCCACTTATAATTTGGATCACAGAGCTTT